AGCTCTTAATGCACGCGCAGCCTCCATCTGTTGCTCACCTTCACGCCTGCTGCCAATGATGCAAGGCTGTAGCGTGATTTTGTTAAAAGAAGTGGGGGGGAGGCGTATTAGATGTTAAACAAACATTAAACACATATTGTTGAACAATATGACTTGGTTTCGCCTATTGTGCACTGCGTCCTAACTACTCAGCTCATAACTTTCTGACGGCGCCCCTTCTGAACATCTGTGAAAAAGAGCTTGATAGCTTATCCGATTCCTCCAGTGTAAATTAAAGATTCTGATTCAGAAAAAAAGGATGCGCCAACATTTTCTTAGATGGGGGGCGGGGTGAGAGTTCTGCGGTGAAGGGGGGGGGGGGTCTTAGCCCATCCAGAGCCCCCCTGCTCTCTACACGCATGACCAAGGCTGTTTCCCATGTTGAGATACACGTTTATCATTTATATTTGAACGAGCAGCATCCTCGTACCAGCGGCTTTTGGCTAAACGTCGAACAAACACGGTCGCCGCATTGCGCGCACTTTCAGATGCGCTTCTGCGGCCGTCTGGAACCCTCTTTCTTTTGTTATTAGGAAGCCACTGGATATGAGCACTTTTAAATCCAGTTTGAAAAGAATTTCTTCACAACTGCTTTTTGTGTTTAGTTTGCTGTCTTTCTCTCCCTCACCTCCGATGAGCACGGTTGGTTACGTACGGTTGCGAAATTAGTTCAACATACAATTTCGCGCAAAAATCTCAACCAAGCGCCGCCCCCCATCCCCCCCCAATAAATTTCAAGGCGTCAAAACTGGAGGCGCCATCGCGAGTTTTGGCATTGTCGAGTTTGAAGGCTTTTGTTTAGTTTCCGTGGAATGCCTGCAAAAAAAAAGTGTTTACGGACACAGGAACGCGCATCAGGCTAATGTCAACAACGCCGTCTCCCTTTACGAGCAAGATCCGTTCAAACGTCGCGTTGGCAGGACCAGTGGCTTCGACACCTGTGTGAAACACCAGGCGTAGATAGGTGGTGACACACTAAGACAAAGATCCCAGCCGTGTGGCGTTAACAGACTGTTGGGGCAAAGTGCTGTTCGCGAGTAGCACCTAATGAAGGCCCGTGTGTGGCCAGCACCACGCCCGGCCGACTTTGTCTCCCCAGTGGCGATGTTTCCACACCACACCAGGTTACTCATTTGTGGACGGGATGCCCGGGACCGGTTCAGAGAATCGTCACCGACGTTGGCCGTGAGCGCGAACCGAACTCGGGTCGCCGAGCACGATGCGCAGTGCGCTAACCCACTTGCGCTACGACTCCCCCCCACGAGCTAGGTGACACACAGACGCAGTAGCAACCGCTCAAAGTAATGCTGCCCATTTGGCTCGCAGAGACTCCAGCTGTCATTCAGAGTCCCTTCAGTCCCCCTCCCCCTCCCTCGCCTTTCATCGTCACGAGGACCACTCAGATCTGCCCCGGCGTGCATCGCCACTCCGCTGCGCGCCGAGGCACTTTGCTCAGCTGGGAGAGCCACGGAGAGGCGCATTATTATTTTTGTTAGTTTTTTTTATTTGGTAGAGCCCTGTGAGCCATTCGGCTCTTGAATTTACGGGCTGATTGTGCGCCGCACATACGCGCAGCATTCAGTCGTGCGGGCAGGACCACCTCGGTGTTTGCATACGCCTCTCCCAGCCACCGCCACCCTCCCCACCGCCTGTTCACTCACTATCCTTCAGCCAGCGTTCTCCACCACAGTTGCTGCATTCCATGCACTTGTTTGGGGGTCGGCTGTGCTACCGACGAAGTGATTTATTGGGCCCCCGTTGCTGTAAAAAAAAAGTGAGAATTGTTTGGATACCGTGTGCGTAAATGTTTACTAGAGCATTGTTACAGCCTTTACACGTGTACACAGTTGAATATACGATCTTCTTCTGTCTGTCTGTCCGATGATAAATAATAAATGCCATTGTTTATGCAGGAAAGTCTCAACTGAGTCTCAAGACTCCTTTTCAGGAGGATCCCGTATTGCGATGACTGGCTTCATGTGGGAGGGAAACCAGAGTGCCTGGAGAATAACCCGCTTGTAAAAGTGGGAAACACTCAAAGCTCCACACAGATGGGTCTAATAATCCATCACGGTGCTGCCATTTTTGAGCCACCAACCAGTGCAGGCCTACACCAACGAGTGTGGATTTCGCAGGCAGTCTCTCATTCAAGTACTGGACTGACCAGGCTCACACCTGCTTGGCTTCCAATATCTGACGACATCAGGGACAGTCAAATATGTTGCATTCTGAGGCAATATGGAAATTTTAAACATGTCTATTGCATGCATTGAAGCGGATTTTGCCTCAAGCATATGGACTATTTTTGAACGAACTTGATCAAAGACAGGTGCCATCTAGTAAGAAATAATAATAGTGCCTACACAGCAATGGTCTAATACAGTAATAGAGTGTGGGGCTCTCATCCAACAGTGGATTGGCCAGAGTTGTAAATGCACATCACAGAATAATATCTCTATCTCATGCGAGAGACAGTGTAATCGTTCACCTATATACAGTACACTGCCCGTGCATTGCAGTTATGGAGAGCCTCATTCTCATCAAGAAGCATTTTGTCAACTCTTCTGCAATGTGCATGTGTATCTGGGCAAGTGCTCTTTTCCCACATTTTACTCTTTCTGCACAAGTAGTCAATCAATTGGTAGGGTATCGCGTACATCCAGTTTAGAGCGCGATCTCGTGAGATCACCAATGCTAAGCTAAGCAGGTTTGAGTCTGGCTAGCGATTGTTTGGATGATCACTATGTACAAAGCAGGTGCTGTAGACTGTTTTTTTTTGGGGGGGGGTGATTATGTTATCAGCAGAGGGCAGCTCCAACGTCCATATTCCCTGCCTTTTACCAACCTGCACTGATCAGTGTGGTAAAGCATTATTTAATAACCTCCACAAACTACATGGCTTGCGGAGGCCCTTATCCAGCAGTGAACAAAAGGAATCTACACGTACACCTGCTTTACTGCTCGATGACAGAGGCAACAGTGGCCAATTTATATTAAAGTGGCAAGTACCCCCTATCTTCTGGTTATTCGTAAAAGGGCATTACCAATAACATCTTATAAGACGTCAGTATTTTTGTAGCATGCTTGACGACTCCCAACAAGGTGAAACCAGCCCAGGCCTTTCTCACTCTTTGGTTCTTTCGGTAAAGTCACGTAGGTATACAATAAAATAAAGATCAGACCTTTCTTGTTTAAACGAATTCTGCTGGTTAATGTAAGTCGGAAAGGTCAATAGGCTGATAGACTAACTATATATAGTGTATGATTCCTTGGAGATACAGAACAGATGATTTACTTTAGTGGTTCAATTAATGTGTTTAGGTTCTCAACCATCTTGACTTAGAATCAAACCCAGGTATCTGTGGGTGCTGAGTGTAATCATAGAGCATCAGAGTCAGTACCCTACTAGATGACACGAGTTTAACTCCTCCTGCACAACACCGTCCAGGCTACGTGGATTTGTGCCAAACCTGGTGGCTCTAAACATACAACATTTTTTGGGGACCACCTACTCAATGATTTTCAAACGACGTGCAAATGTGTGTAAATAGCACACATCATATGTGCATGTGAAAAACACTTCAGAATTTCCTGAAGAAGGACATTGTGGTCTTCTTGTCATAGATCACCATCGAACATTAACATTTGAGCGAATGTGACATTTCAATGGATAAACTCCTGGTGAGAAATACGTTGAGAATAAAGACACAGTATAACGATATGGCAGAATATACGTAGGCAACAGAGGCGCAGTGAGAATAGATGCAGAAAAGAGATATAGATGTATAGACGAAACGTGCTTACAATATATATAAATGCCAGTGAGATTGCGAGAGATGCAAACGGGAGATGCATACAGATGGGAGAAGAGCAATGTGGAGAGCATCGATATACGTCGTGAGATCTATTTATAAAATGGAGATGTAGTGGTCGTAGACAATGAGATAACACGAACGTCGAAGATGTACTCAGCGAATGCAAGCATGTGTTGCTCATCGGTTTCTTTTTCATCTTCTCTCCCCAAAAAATATGAGGCCATTGAGCCTTTGCCGACTCGACTTACACCTTGCACCCACCACTGCAATAACGCCACCGTTGATCAGAGTCCGTGAGGTAACGCGGGGCTGCCGGTCTCTCTAATCGTCATATAAACAGGTGTAGATGTGTGCATTCGCAGTGCTGGTTCCACTGTGAACTCGCGAGATACTTCAAATATGCGTAAAACTAAACACGGCGACGCGTGACTTCAAAGCGCTGTATTGGAATGCTGTTTTACCAAGCGGCGGGGCACCAATTGCGTTTAAAACAAAACACGGTTCTACATGGCTTAGCAGTGCTGCTTTTTGAGCAAAAATAAGCAAACGAAGGTACAGATCTAAACATAGCGCGACCATCGATGTTTCAAACAGCACCGGATTGGAACGACGTTCGGCGCTTCAGAACAGTTTACTTCAAAATATGATTTTATTATAAATATAGCAATTTATCCAACAAGGCATTTGAAGCAATGTACAATACAGTATTTTAATACCAACATACATTTTTTTTTTTTAGTTTGAAGGTTTTTTAAAGGAGCAAAAACATGTTAAATGAGCTATTATACAAGGCCCTATAATAACACCAGCTTAGGGAGAGAACTCGGGACTGAGTCAGCTCAACCTCGAGCTCTTTATGCACTTCCTAAGCAGAGCGGTTAAACAAAAAAAAAACACCCCACCAACAAGAAATGTTGGGATAATATATCCATAACATTTCCCAAAAGGGGAAAATATTCATAATAGATGAAGTTTCTGTCGATTGCCCTTCTTTATAGCAGAGAGAGGGCCATTGCGTGAAATGTCACTTAAAATGTTGTTTCCTCTTCGGTGCAGTGTGATTGACGGCTGCATTGGAGTTTGCATCGTTTGTTGCTTCGTGCACGGTTGTCGAAGCGATAACACCATTTGGTGTTTAATATTTTAAAAAAAAAAATGTACACACTTGTCATTGGTGAATGGAGCAAGCTCGGCGTTGGCTACTAATCTGCCAAGTGTTCACTGCAAGGCAGCACTGTTGCAGACCCTTAATGTCCTAAATAAATACGAAGTGGCTCAAAACAAAGCCCATGGCATCATATGGCCGCAGGGCCATCTATTCTATAGGCATCATACTCAATTTGCCAGTTTCTCCAGGCAAAAAAAATGCCCGTGAGCACAAAGGCTACCTTTTACAGACCAGCCGTCATCGGATGATGCACTTAAGCAAAATATCCAAGTAAAATTTAAACATGTGAGAACTGAATTAAAAGCATATGCGTTTCATATGCAAAGGCTGTGTGTTTGAACTGTGATCTGAATGCGACTCACATTTGACGCTTCTGCTTAATGAAAATCGTATACATCAGCTCACCTTTAATGAATGTGGACGCACACACTGTCAAGCAGCGGACAGGCCAAGCTTGTGACCACATTTTCTGAGACCAAAGAGTTTTGGGGCATGAACGGTTTTTCAGTCTCACGCGATGTGCGCAAGTGATACCACTGACTGTAATGTGACGTCAATGTGCAATCTACTTATTCAGCAGTCCATTCTGCAATCTTCCTCTGAACCTTACAAATAAAACACTATCCCTGTTCTGATGAAATCAAGATACTTTGGCCATTTCTTGGCGTAACAAAAAACAGATCTCTTTATCGATATTTGTAGCTCTTTAAGGACCCCCCCCCCCCCCCCCCCCACACAACATTTGTATACTAAGTTAAAGTTAGTGTTGAGATGAGCGTAATGTATGAGAACATCAAAAGCAGCTACCAGCAGTTGCCTTTTGAGAGATGCCATGTTTAACATGTTATGAGTGTCGATCCTTCAAGTGGTGTGTGTGTGCGTGTGTGCCCTTCGATCTCCTGGATAGAAAGTAATTTAATGTGCACCTATATCCACAGGCAGTACCTGTCTTCTTGTATCCACTCGCATAGAGGGAAACGCAACATAACCTTGTATTGTAAAAATATTACATGTCATTTGCTTATGAAATTTCCACAGGAACAAACAATCGTTACTGGAAGGCCATGCTGAATTACACGAAATTCACATGATGTGTTATCGTGCAATGCGATCTCTTTTTACGGAGTTTTTGCAAATATATTTAAATACTATGTGTGTACTGGAAATAGTAATGGATGTCAATAACCCATTTTTAAACCAAATAAGAGGTAACAGTGCAGCTCTGCAATGACATGCCCACGCCACTGTTAGTGGAAGCACCTCAATGAGAGATATTAATTGACCTACTCTTCCACGCTCCCTAGACGTCTTGGAAGCAGTGCGAGAACCCACACATCATCCCAATACACATGACCTGCCATCGACTCACTGTGGTGTAATCATGTATACTGCTGGGTGGACAGAGGCAAGGGCCGGATTCAAGAAACTTGACCATTGTTTCAACAAGGTATTTCCCCTGCAAGGTATCATATGACCGAATGGGAAATGTTTTCATATTCAATGCCATAGCAATGTCACTGTTTCATATCAAAACAAGCATATGCGCCGTCAATTACATTTCTGAATATCTTAGATCATGTGGCACTTTTTTTTTTACGAATGACAAGGCTACAACAGAGTACTAATAGCAGTGCTCCAGCTGTAGACTTTCTCCACTCTAGGTCTTCAAGTGGTGCCGACTGCAGCAATCCTGATCATATAATTGCATGTTTTCAAAGCGTACATCAAACATCAAAGCATCATGTTCCCAAATCTCAACGTATAGAAGATCAAGGTGTATTTGGTCAAACCACTAGGGTTACAAATTTCAGTTATAAAAACCTTAAAAATGGTCCGAATGTGCGCACACCCTATCGTAAGTGGTGTTGAGTGACTTAATAAGTGGGAGCATTAAAATGTTGCCTGCGGAGACGATACTCGTCGTCGTCCGTGGTATGTGGTGCCGCACCACTTAGTACCCTTGACATGGCATGTCACAATCGTACAACGAACTGAGGCCACAATTTGACATGCAAATAGAGAGCGAGGAACTGAACAAATCTCGATGTACGGCCAACAGTTTTTTCTGTGGCCTAATTTTTGGAGCCTCAGCGATATGAGATGAATGGATGCTTTGCATAAAAAAAACTTGGCATTTAGTGAGGCACTTTTTCTGGCGTAAGTTTCAAGCTGTACATTCAGAGTGGGCTACATTTTTTGACAACCGTGACTTGCTATGCGCCAAAAGTGCAGGGTGTGCCATCAGTCTGGACTTCGAAGGTGACTTTAAAAAAAAAGAGCAATCTCATGTGAAATAAAACATGCGAAATAAGGATGTGATACCAGTAATTTGTTTAAAAATATAATTTAAAAAGTGTTTTGCTTCTTTTTTGAACAAGAGTAATCACTCGTTGGCAAAGACAGTAATAATTGTTTGAAACTGATGATTTTCCAGCTTGCACCGATTCTTCAGCTACAGATCGGTTTTTGATTTAACATATGGATCAGAAACATGGTCATGAATAACAAGAGATCAGGATCAAGATACAAATGTCATCACGTCCAGGGCTGTTTATGCTAGCAACAAAAATGAAATAAAACCTCAATAGTTTTGATGATGACGATGATGGCGACGACGATTCGTTACCACGAGCACACATTCTACTGCCAATAAGCCGTGAGTCAAAGCTGAAAGACTCACAGTATTGCACAACAGAAGACGTCATTTGGTGTAACATGAGTTGAGTCAAGGGAACAATTTCTAAAGGCATCCGCTGTGTGAGTGCACGAGAGAACTGTGACTAGTACTGTGACTGTGACTGTCGACAGACGGGCAAAATGCACACCAGCACATACAGGACATTACTTGCGCACCACCCACGCATTCTGTAATGTCTGTGGAAACACCACCTGTGATCTCGACGCAGCTTTAACCAGTTGCAGTCAGCGTGTGGGGTTTTAAATGAGAGATGAGTGAGACGTAAAAAGAGCTGCTTGTTGATTCGGTGGTCTTGACATGCCGAGCGTTAAACGAAAGAGAGGAAGCCAAGGCAAAGGAGCTGCCTCATCCACGTATATCCCAATGCCACGTTTGCAGTCAATTAAAATCAAATTTTCCAACTTCCGTGACATGAGTCGTGAGGAGTAATTTCCTGCGGATAATTGGTATAAGTAACAACAAAATGGCAAATTATCACTATTTTCTGTCAGTTTTGCCAATTTTCATCCGATAATTCGACAGAAAATCAGTTTATGCTAACACCTCAATCGGCTCCTATACCCTGAGCACATTGCTGCTTAATCACTGTACTGTACTTGCACACATGATTGGCAAACTCAAACTTGGATAGCTGGAGTGATTAACGCCGTGTTAGATTTCACAGATGATCAGCGTCTCATGCATCACCTCTATCCAGCGACAGCACGTTCATGTAAACTTAATCAGTCACAACTTGTAGAACCACTCACAAAGGGGAGGACGTTGATCACTAAATTGTGATTACGTTTCTTCCAATTCAAAGTGGAGTACTTACACATCTGTTATCGACATCTGGCCAGCATAGAAGAGGAGCCTACCCCAGAGGAGCTATCTCTCGTGTGACACCTTCCATAAGCAGTGGTATGCATAAGAAATTGCAAGAATGCACCTTGATCTATTTTACACTGCCATTGTTTTGTTTACGATCCGATTTAGCAGTGAGAAGTAATGTTCTAAATGATCGTTTTACATCACAGTACTCCAGGGGACATTAGCAATCCCATTGATGTGCAGCTGTGTTGGAGCTGAACTGCCTTTCAGCGTCAAGAGACGAAAGGTCTTTGGGTTCACAACACCTTGATCATCATCATCATCACCACCACCACCACGGGCCGTGTACATTTGTACACAAGCTGAGTTGCACGATCTCCATCAAATAACACATAGTTTACATACCGAACAGTTATGCATGACAAGGCACGATGATACTTGGCAAGATGCACGTGAACATCCCCTTGTCAATACACTGCTTAGTGAGGGCCTCCCCAGGCTATGAGGCAGACATGACAGAACTTTACCACTCTCGTAAGTGTGGGTTAGGGAAGTCGGGGAGCATAGACGTGGTAGTACAGTACAGTATAGAGTACAGTACGATACTGCACACCCCTGTGCCGCCCACCACAGCCTATGACACCTGTTTTGCATGTTCGTCCACGCAAACACTATCCAGGCCAAACTCTGAAGAGTTTGGGCACCATTTCTCTGGTGATTAGGTTCATAGGCGCACGGTAATATGTATTAAGTTATATATTTCGTTTTAGCCTGCATATATTCGTTGATGGGTTATTCACTTTTACTTGTTAGAATATTAGTTTGTCTGACCTTGATGCACGTTCAGAGCCTTCGTTTAATATTAAATTACTTCCTTATACGAGTGTTAGTTGCGCATGCGCTCATTGCCAGTGAGACATTCTGAGTGGTAGGTGGCCAAACGAGAAAAACATAATGATATTGTTTTATCTTTTTACGACAAAAGTTCGGCTGTGGTTTGCAAAGAATGGTCACGTTGGGTTATTTGCAATGACTCGGCGCATTTAAAACGGCATTGGTGATGTTTGTGTGGTCTCGTAACCGTCCCGCAAAGCAAGATTTCCGATTCACCCACTGCCGCAATTCTGTTGCTACGGCAAATGTCAGCGAACGCACCTCCATTTAGCACGGTTGGCTACGCACGGTGCGAAAGAAGTTCAAAATACATACAAAAGTTTCAGGCTAATACCACATCGCTGCCTTGTATTATGGCGCACTTCATGACAACTGTTAAGAAAACACTGTGTCTGTAAAAAAACGTCGTCCGCAATCCTAAACTTGTAACCTTTTTTTGCGAATGTAATGGGTTTGTCCAACCCACTCATCGTAAATGTAAAAACTTACGAAACAAAGTATCTTAAATCTTGTCCAAATTGTTTGGACAAAAGCAATACAAAATGTCTGGTCTCTAAAAGGCACAATCTGGAATATATAATTTACCTCCAAGTTCCTGATGATAAATTGTACCTTTAAGCCTTGAGGTCACGTCCAAACTGTAAATATGGTACACATTTTAAATGCCCCTGGAAGATACACTGTGTGTAGTTTCCAAAACAGGAGATTATTTACTCATTCACTAAATGTCTACCAGATTCTGGAGTTCAGTACAAACCAGATGTGTCTTTTACCTTAGGGTTGTGGTATTGCATTACTTTTAAATACACGCATGAATACAATTTAGGCTGGTTTTCTTTGTAAAAGGTTCAGCATATTATACAGACGCACTATATAAATGTGGTACAGGCCAAACATTTTCAGAATTGTATTGCCTATACCACATTTATCATCCGATGTTTAAGCTACACATGGGCTCGCACTTTTAATAATATTTTCCAATATAACGATCTCTACCATAAATTCTATTACTCTGTATCGTTTGTACATACATATGGGGGCATCACAATACGCATCATGTTAATTGTTGTGTCGTTCCTCTCCCACCCCCCCCACACATTTCTCATTCTGGATACCTTACAAAAACAATCGTAACACATAACACTTGTTTGTATAAATTTGTAAAAAAAAAATGATGCGGCATTCGGTGGATACACCATTTAGAGCCCTGTTTTCATCGAGACGCCTGTGCTGGTGCTAAAGAGAAGAGCCCGACCGAGCGGGGCATCTTGAGCACACGACATCCCCAAGACAATCGGACCAAAGGAAAACAAAATCTCAATTTGCACAATCAATATGCACAACTGTGCGTTGTTTTTTTTGCACCCATCGCACGCAGTGCACGGCTGCAAATTGCTGTGTCAGTCTTCCAGAAATGCATGTACACATGCTTGTCACTTCAAAGCGTTTGCACGTATAAGCTACACGTATGGTCCGCTGGTACGTTTATATGCCCTGTAGTGTAGTGGTTTCAGTTTCAATTTTACATGCAGTAGGGCACACGCATATATATTTACGTATATTGTATAGCAATCTACAGAAGTGGCAGACACGAGACGACACGAGCTTGTTAGACAAATGCCGGCTGTTCGGCTATGGTCTCTGGGTGACCGGGAGGCGCATGTACGGCAAGCGAGGGAGACTTGTAATGCACTCCCCCCTTGCGCCCGGTCTGCCGAGACAACTTCTTGTTCCAGAGCATCTGCCACGACTGCAGCGTCTTAGAGCTCCAGATCCACATGCCGCTGGTGATGCCCACCACCAGCGACATGAACACCTTGAGCAGGTAGACCTCGATGGAGGGGATGGACTGGACAGCCGTGCAGTCGGGCGTCTGGTTGCCCTGCGCAGCCCTGCACTTGGAGGCCACTGCGAGGGTCCTCCAGCTATCAGCGTTGTACCACTCGTAGAAGTAGCAGGCGATGACGCAGGTCGCCGGCACGGAATAGAGAACGGAGAAGACGCCGATCTTCACCATGAGTTTCTCGAGTTTCTCCGTGTCCGTGCCGCCCGTGCGCATCACGCGGCGGATGTCGAAGAGTGCGACGAGCCCGGCCAGGATGAACGACGTGCCCAGGATGAGGTAGCAGGTGAGGGGGACGATCACGAACCCCGCCAGCGCGTTGGGGCTCATGAGTCCGCCCACGTAGCACAGGCCCGTGAGCTCCTCGCCTGCAACCTTGATGCGACACGGTGGCAACATTGGTTGGGTGTTACACATGTCGACGAGTTGTAGACACGTATCACCAGACACGTGTGTGTGTGTGTGTGTGGTAAAGATGAGAGCACAGCAGATGCGTGACGTCTCTAATCTGCAGATTTTAGGCATGTATGGAAAATGAAAGTGACATTCTGAAACCAAAACGTTGTACATGATCTTCAAGCTTCTATACATGTCACAAAAATAAATTGTCCTCCATAACTATTTTAACTCCATTATAAAGTGACAACCCTATAACCAGATGACGGCCCAGTGAGAACAAATATCTTGTTCAAGGAAGAGCTGGGACAAACAAACAAATACTGTACAAGTATTAATACACAGCATATATACACGTAGAGTGCACCCCCAAGTAATGAATATCATCAGATAGATAATGCACACTACCGCAATGGGCAAGACATTTACTGTACAGTACTTGGATTTGATACTTCATAGGCCAATCATCACATGTATATAAAGAAAAACCTTATTTTTCACCACTGATCTTGACACCCAGTGCAGGACAGCATACAACATTTGACAAGAAGCAAACTGCCAGGGCAGGGGAGGGACATATAACATCAGCAATTCCCACGAAACATCACGCGGAATACACCTTCACTAAAACCAGAGGATGGAATTGGGGAGAGCGCGGACCTTGCGTAGGCCCAGGATCACGATGGTCTGCACGGCTGGAAGCGCCCAGGCGGCCAGGTGGAAGTAGCTGCTCTTGGCCTCGATCGCCTCGTGCCCCCACTTGATGCCGGCAGCCAGGAACCACGTGAAAGTGAGCACGACCCACCAAACGGACGCAGCCATGCCGAAGTAGTAGAGCAGCAGGAAGACGAGCGTGCAGCCCGTGCTCTCGAGGCCCGCCTGGATGATGTAGGCACTGCCGCTGTCATGGTCGCACGCGATGCTGGACGCGCCGGCGAACAGGCGCACGAGGAACGCCACCGAGTGCAGGCAGTAGCACATGGAGAGGAAGATGATGGGCCTCTCCGGGTACTGGAAACGCGACGAGTCGATGGCGAAGGTGAGCACGGTGAAGGCGCTGGAGGCGAAGCAGAGCGCGGACCATACGGCGAGCCACACTGACGCGAACCGCTTGTCGGCGCCGCTCCAGTACACGTCCATGTCGGGCCCGCAGCGCGGCGCGCACGACTTGCTGCGCTCCACGTAGTGGAACTTGCTCGGGTTCTCGCACGACGTCGGGGAGCCGCTCCTGGGGGGAGGCGGATGAGGCTGCACGCCCTTGCTGTCGTCGCCGCGACCCAGGTTCATCGTGGGCTTGTACGAAGACGGCACGGACGCCCTGCCGCCGGGCGGCTGCGCGCCCTGGTTCGGAGACCCCGTGTGCTGCGGGTGGCTGCTGCTGCTGCTACCGCCGCCGCCGCCGCCGTGGAGCGGAGGTGCCAGCGGCGCCAGTGGGAGTCGGTCGTGAGGTTCACCTCCACCTGCCGCACCGGTTCCTCCTCCTCCACCTCCTCCTCCGCCACCGGTCCCTCCTCCTCCTCCACCTCCTTCATCGTCGTCCGCCGCCGGCGCCTCCATGCACAAGGCGCTGGGGTCGTGGCGCGTTGGCAGGCGGGCGCAGTCGAGCGCGTCGGGCCAAGCGAAGTTGAACTGCTCGAGGACGGGCGCGCATCGCTGACGCACGGCGCGGCACATGGGCCGGCACGCCGGGATGGGCTGCGACACCTGCTCGCTGCACATGGGCGCGTACACGGAGCACAGGAAGAATCGCAGGTGCACGTGGCAGCCGTATTCGACGAGCGGCGCGAACTCGTGCAGCTTGATGGCGGCCTCCTGCTGCTCCTCGTGTCCCAGCGAGTTGGGCAGCCGCGTGGTGTTGTAGCCGATGCCCAGGCACATGGGGATCACGATTGGCTGACACCTGCCCTGTTGGAATTGCTGCTGCTGTTGCTGCTGCAGGTGTGCGTGCTGTGGGAGCTGTTGTTGTTGTTGCTGCTGCTGCTCTTGCTCTCGGCCCAAAGAGGTCCGCTCGGTGTCTGACAACGCCGCGTTGAGTCGCGCGCAGTGGATGAGGAGCAGAGCCAGAGGCACGGGCGCCCAGGGGCCACGGAGATTTCGCAGCATTTTCCGTGCCGTGTGCCGTCCTCTCTGGGCGTGAACGCGCGCGCACGCGCGCGCCTCTCTCAACTGTTGTAGCCTCGTGCACCCCCGCGTGTGTGTGGCAGTGTCTGACCAACGCTCTCAACTAGTTGGGGTTCAGCACTGAGTACACAAAGTGCGCGCAGGCAGTGCGTAAAAGTTAGCGCGCATGGTGGGTTCGAGTGCGCGACTCCCTCCCCCTCCTCCAAGCCGCGGCTGTCCCCAACCCTGCCTTTCTGCCTCCTCCTCCTCCTCCCCCCAGCAACAATAAATAGTGCTTCTTCTATGGCCACAACGTTAGCGGTGGAAGCGGAGGGCGCTTTAAAAGGTCGGGCTGCATTCACACCCGACAAATGGTGCGCAAAGCGTCTCGGTCGCTAATAGCCGGCGATCAATGCGCGCACAAAGCCGTCTCGGCGTGACCAATTTCAATTTCAGTCCCTTTTTCTATTCCCTCTCGCAGTCCCCAGCCCAGTGGAGTTCTCCTCCCCGTGCTCCGCCTGCACCACCACCACTACCCTCCCCACTCCCCCTGGGCGCACACCAAGCCAGCTAACCAACCCCCGTCATCACCATCACCCACCCAACCCCACGCACCCTCACTCACTTCCATCTCTTCCTTGTCTTCTCTTTTGCTGATACTTTACGCTCTTCTGAAAATGCCCCACCCACCCCCTCCACCACCAAAAACGTCTCCGCCTAGACCCCCCCACCGCCCTCGTCACCTCCTCCTCCTCCCCCATCGCGGACAAAGAAAAACACGCGATAAGTTTCACAGCGCGGCGTAGGTGTGCGTGTTGCGTGCGATTTCCAACCACTCCATCATCGTTCCTCTCCGTGCGAACGTGGAACATGTCATGCGAAGTTCTCGCGCGTGTCCACCGCCTAGGTAGACTCGGCCTGACATGGGGTGAATCCTACCTGGTGAAAACGGCGTTGCGAACGACAGCAACCGTGCGGATCTACAAAGACATGCGGAGGGCGTTGCGCGCGAGCGCGAGTTTGGAAGTTGTTGGCTTCGGATCAGCCGCAGCCTTTTTAAACGTGGGTGGCTCGCTAACAGTAACGGAACTTGTCTCTGCGCGTAAGTGCGTGCGGAGCAGTGACTGCGAAACCGGCGACCCGAATTCGTTTCCATCTCACGGCCAACACCGGAGACGATCATCTGAATCGCGCCCTGGACTTACCCCGAGGTCGACTCAGCCTCAAAGGAGTACCTGGCGTGTTAACGTCGCCACTAGGGAGACAAAGGAGTACCTGGCGTGTTAACGTCGCCACTAGGGAGACAAAGGAGTACCTGGCGTGTTAACGTCGCCACTAGGGAGACAAAGGAGTACCTGGCGTGTTAACGTCGCCACTTGGGAGACAAAGGAGTACCTGGCGTGTTAACGTCGCCACTAGGGAGACAAAGGAGTACCTGGCGTGTTAACGTCGCCACTAGGGAGACAAAGGAGACCGGGCGTGGTGCTGGCCACCCACCCACCCCCTCGTGTACCGTGGCGGGATTCGTAGGGTGCTCGCTGACAGCACTTGCCCCAACAGTCTGTTAAGCCTTTGCGGGGGATCTTTGTATTTGTGTGCAGACGGGCCCGAGAGGCGATCTCGACGGGGTATGTCTTTTGGAAGGGGGGGGGGGGGTGTGGAGTCTAGTGATCTAAAGGGGCGCACAATGAGCCTTTATGCGCTTATAAAGGCGGCGAACAGTCACTGTTCCACCCAGCTCTGGCTGTTTAACAGAAGACTTTACTTTTCATCCTTATTATTTTAAGTTTTATACTTTTACTTTTTTTCGATAACTCTTCAATAGTTCGTTGTGACCGTCAGTTGTTCCGCTTCATTGATAAGGCCACTTTTAAAGAATGCACGTGCTCCATATGTTGATCCACCGTTTGGTGAATCACGTGGACGGCATTCGTCGTATGTTTTGTATAAATATCATGGAACTGCGGCAGATACAGATGCGCCCTTCTCACAATATTTACACAAGTTTGTTTATGCAATAACTTTGCGCGCGCGTGTGCGCGTAATTACTGCCGACACGGATTTGTAATTTATGGATTAATAGTCAAGCAAACGTTGACCACACGTCACGCGGAATAACCTCCAAAGACCGTGTATTTACAAAACCACTGTATGTGTTTAGATTTGGACCCCCGAAAGCGATTCGCATTTTTTTTTCGACCATTGTATGGCAGAACAATAGGGTGTCCATGTACAGCAGTGTACAGACCTTGCCTACACAGCCTGGTGTGAGTTCCCAGCTGCCCGTGTCTATTGACACTGGGATTACCTAAAGGTCCATTGTCCTGCTGTTGCCATTTGGGCTCCCATCGGCTACTCTGGGCTGGCTTTTGATGAGCGTTTTCTTGGCATTTACGTGCATTGTACGGGCGTTAAAAAGCAGCCCGTTCTCGTACCCCCATGTCGTCATACAACCCCATAGCTGCACCTTCCCACAGTATTGTCATGAACATGCTGAATTCTAGCCTTTAATTGTGTGACGCACATTCATCTTAGACGCGCTGGCCAGATGCCAGAAGAGACGAAGCAGTGTGAGCCTCCAGTTTATGACTACGCCAACGTTGTGGTAGTTACTCGTAATAGGCAGCAAGGAATTCCTATTGTTGATATTCGTTTCAAAGTCTGAGCAATGGAACATAAACGATAGTCGGAGGTATCGTGGTTATAATAATGGAGGTATATGTGTACTTTTCGTAGCCCATTGTTCGAAGATCTCTTTTCTGTACGTATGTAACCGTCATCACCCATCTTCTATCCACTGCTGGATAAAAGCCTCCCCCATGCCGCTCATGGCCATGCGATGCTACGATCCAGCTCACTTCTGAACATTCACTTAATAACGCGGTTGCTCCATCTCCACGGTATGCAAATCTTCTTTTTGGCTTCCACTCTGTCAACACTCTCATCCGTTGTCATCCATCCCATACCTGGCGATATGCGCTACGTGTCGAATTAAACAAAAAAGTCATTCCGTACGCACAATGGTATTGAAGGACGACAAACTGAACGCAAAAAAGCAGTTCTCGAGAAAATCGTTTTCAATCTAGATTTAAAAGCGCATCGCTCCAGTGGATTTTTTTTAAATCGGAAGGAAACGCGTTCAAGACGCATTCGAAAGTTCACGCTGCAGTGACCGTCTTTGTCTGATGGTGAGCCGAGGTTAGCGCACTGCACTATGGACCCAGAGACCCGAGTTCGAATACGGGACATTTGAACTGCTCCTGGAACTGCTCCTCCCTCCACGGCACCAACCCGCATTGACGAGCATTGGTGAAGCGCGGTCAAGCAATCCTCACGACCGACACGGTGTGTGGGCGGGGGGGGGAGACCTTCATCCAGCAGTGGATACATCTCTCCCCAAGGAGCATAATCCATCGTGTGAGCTCTGCTCATCCTCGCGGCGGCTTTTGGCGTCCCATCAAAGACGACCACTGCACTATGCATTGTGCAGTGGTCGTCTTTGATGGGACGCTCTTCCTTCCGGTATTCGGAAGCCACTGGAGCTATGCACTTTTAATTCCAGGTTGAGGCTGATTCCTATAGAAGTGCTTTTTGTGTTTAGTTTGTTGTCCTTCCCCCGCACCTCCGACGAGCACGCTTGGGGATTGTACAGTGCGAAAGAAGTTCAACATGCATAAATCTTGTCAGATTGTAAAAAAAACATGCATTCTAAAATAGGAAACATTTAATGATACTTTACGAACATCATATTGTGCTCGTATACAACATTTTTCAAAAATGTCCCTAGTGAGCCTCAAGGTTTTGTCAGGGAGGGGGTCCTGCATTGTGGTGTTTATTCAATTCCAATTTTGAGCATTGTCACAAGAAATCCCACCACGTTTACGCACAGACAGATTCAATAATCCACCACTGTCATGCCATCTCCTCGCCGCCTCGCAATGATGCACTTCACAACAATCGTCCTGTTTCTGAGTCTCTCAAGCGCCTTCCACGCAGAATGGTGAAAGGTGAACGTTATCAGGAAGTCACGACTGAACCCGCAGATTTGTATCCAAGCAGAGAACACGTTTCATTCAATAACAAACTTTACTTTGGTTTCAGTTCATGAAACATTTGGGGGCGAGCAGGGGGTGCCACTTCTTTAGTTGTGTATGGTTATGAGTTAGACGGTTAGGGTCACTGTTAATAGTTTAGGTGTTAGGGTTAAGGGGTTAGCGTTTTGGGGTTATGGGCAGGGTTAGGGTTTGTGGTTAAGGCGGTAGGGTTTAAGGTTCGGGTGTGTAGGTGATAAGGCCAGCAGCAGCAGCTAAGACCGCTGCTACGACTGCCTTTCCTGCTGCACATCCTCCACGGCACAGCCTTCTTCTCCTCAGCCTCACTATTCCTATTGTTCTTATTGATGCACGCGTGTGGCGGCTTGCTTAGAGGCACGAGATCGCCCGTGCGTCTTCACTGCCTCGCGCACACGCTGTTGTTGCGTTTGCGGGACCCCAGGTGCATGGGGTGAGGTGTTAGCGGTGCCATGCGGAGCGTTATTGGCGACAAACAACAAACGGGGTCCCCATGCCCCCCGCCCCTCATCAATTGCGCCTCTGTGCACTCCAAACTTGTCCGCTCTCTCTCTTACTCTCCCCTCCCTTCCTCTCGCTTGCCGCTTCCCAGCCCAGCCCGGGTTCACTGAAGCCAGCGGGGAGCCGGCACTCACGCACAGCAGCACCTCTCTACGGATGGCTGCTCCTTTTGGAAAGACACAGAGAGCCACGGAAGCAGAGAGAAGGGGGGGGGGAGAGAGCGAGCAATCTCGCTCAACTCCAAAAAACACACACTCTCTCTCTCTACCTACCTACCATCAATCTCTGCACGATGAGAGGTCACTCTTTTTATTTTGCTGCTCCTAACATTCCACAGCGGTCTCACGTGCGATTGCCGTAGGTCTGTCGGAGACACAACTCTCGATTGAACCGATCCATTCTTTTTGTTTGATAAAATGTAACTGTTGTATTGGGCATGTTTTTTTTTTCTCTTTGCTTATTTATCCAAAGTAAGTTTGGCACGCTTAATGTACACGTGTAATATGTATGTGTGTGTGTGTGTCTGAGCGGCGACTCTGTCAGTGTAAGTGTTCGATTAAAACTTTTGAAGTTCGGTGAAAAATACACACCCCATGTGTCAGACGGGTTGCCCTCTAGCATGTGGAAATGTGTGCTCGCAGGCACTTATTCTCTAACCAAACCGCCGAAATGCTTTACAAAGTAGCGCACACTTTTCCACGAAGAAACTTTAATTGAACTTCGGAGCCACCCTGCCAGCGTGACGCCTATGAAGTTTGCACATAATCGCCAATGCGTAGGTGTTTGCAGAAAGTTATCGGCGTTCCGGTATCCGTGCACGACCGTTCAAACCCGTGTATTTTTTGGACATGCCGGAATTTTTGCACAAGGAAGAAGGCGTTCCGCGAAACTTGAGCATGGTTTGCGAGTGCTGTTGGTTCGTCCCCAGGCCACTCGTTAAGCTTGTATCTCTGCGCTAGACGACTCCATAACCTGA